TGATAAATGACCGCAAACCCTAGGGGGTGATTCGTGGTACTTGTTGTGGCTTCGTGATCGCGCATAAAATTACTGAATCGTTTGTCCCAGTTTAAATATTCTTTGAACTCTATCTAATCAAGGGTTAAGCAGTAAATTACGTTAGGTAGAAGTAATTCCTTATAGACGAAGTTCTGATAGAGTCTTTGCCGGTGATAATTTTCCCTATGTGCCGGTTCATCGCTTTAGAGTGATCCACTTAGTAGAAATCAAGCTCGATGGAGTAGTTCGGGACGAAACTCTATCCCTTTACTCGCAGCGGAGGTAAGCTTAAACTTTTCTAGTGCGCTTGCGTAGGTCTTGCAATCATCGGGGACGCTCGGGGCTTCTTTTTTGATTCTAAAAACTACTCTTTCTTATGCTACCAAGTCGACTGGACTGGCTTCCATCATTTGATAGTTCCATAGAACCTCCTACCTGGCCTACTTACTTGAGACCTTGGTCCGAGGGTAATCAGTTATAGGCGCTAAACACTTTGAGACCTTCCATTTTGCTTGTCGATTAAGACCTCCTCCCTAACTTCGAACCATCGATGGCCCTTTGAATATTCTTTATTCATTGTTTGTTGGTTAAACTTCTAAAGTCCTGCCAGCCAGAAGACAGTCAAGGACCGATTTGAATAGTTTGAGCTCTGTTCTGCTTTGGTATGCGCCATACAACTTATTTCTTTGGAAAGTACCGAATAGGGAAGGTCTTCGAAAAAATGATTTCTTCCGATTACTTGTTCCTATTCTTTTTTTCTTAGTTTCTTTTTCTGAAGTCGTACGGCTGCGATTCTTCGGTAGGGCCTTTTATCTTTTCCTGATTGCCTCTCGAAAACCTTCTTACAGTCTTTCCTGTCACTCTAATCTTGATCAGCAATATAATTTGATAGGTTCAATGTCTTTCATGATCTCTACCCTTCATTCTGCTAATTTCAAAAGAGTAGTCAGTAATTTGTTACTTTATACACCTTTTTGAACTATAATTCATTGTAATTTTGTACTGACTTCACTATTTTATCAGTCCGTTCTCCAAGCGTTTTTTAATCAGTCGATTTTTTAGTGATGGAGGAAGTGGTACTGATCGAACATCCTCAATCGGGCCATGTAATCAAGTCACGACCGTATCGTTTGTCATGCAAAGCGGTGAATGCAAGAAAAATCCGCTTCAAATGTAATAATAGATGGGTACGTTAGTCGATATATCGATCGTTAACCTACTTCTTTGTGATTTTCTCGCAAACTTGTTTCTCAGCTGTGTTTTCGTCCTTGAACCAAGCTACTTGATGTTTTTCTCCGGTTCCTATTCCTTCCTGGAAAACTTAAATGGCCCTGCAAGTAGCATTTGGGGGCCGTTGCCTCTTGTTTCTGGGCCAAAACAGATTTCGGGCCAGACAAATTTGCGCTAATCGTATTTCCAATAGTTTTTCGCTTCAACGGCGGCTAACATAAAATCCTTCGGGAGGTCTTGGAAGCTGCCGAAAAAATCGGGCCCGACCGATTTCAGCCGTCACATATCGTTCGAGTTTTACACTGCTTCCCACTAGAATCTGCATTCAATTTGGATTATCCAGACCGGTACCGTAATCTTCTTGTGGCTCATTTTTTCGAAGATCGTGGGGGTATTTGAAGATGAATGTTGTTTAAGGGGATACCTCAGGATGCTGGGGATTTCTCCTGCTTCTTTATGCTAAGCCTTTCAAGCGCCGACTGGAC